GATAATTAAATTGTACAACGATGTAACAATGAAATGTGTATTATAATAAAATATATATACTGAAATTATAGTGACTAGAAATTCACTTCAAATTGCCTTTTTACTAAATAGCGTTATTTAAATATTTCAATAATTTTCCTTAATTTTTGATATAATTTAATTTTCTCATTTTTCCATTTTTCGACGATTATCTTAACTTTATACTCATACTGTTTGAGCAGTGAACGTGTTAAAGACACTCTTACAATGTGTTCGAATATATTTTCTAACTTTTCACCAAACAGTGTTATTTAAATATTTACATAATTTTTATTAATTTTCAATATAATTTAACTTTCTCACTTTTCCATACTTTATTTGAACCGTGACAATGTGTTTGAATATTTTCTCCTCCACTCTACGTTTACTTGCACGCAGCAATACATCGACGAAACGAACGGAATAAAAATACGATTGGAAGAGAGAGAGAAAAGAAAAAAAACGAGCAAGAGCGCAAGGCAACGTTTCGAAATTCTGAAAGTGGAATTCTGAAAGGCGACTTCCGCGTTGCCGTGGTAGTAGACGCGTTTCCAGAGCTCCGGTATACACGTCCGTTCTTATCGACCACAGAGACTGCATTGCAGCCAAGTGATTAGAGGGCAATTTGCTGACTTCTCCTTCAATTGTCAGCCGAACAATTCTATTCAACGCGATCCACCCAGACCGGAGAGTGATTTCAGACGCATGTTGAAAGCGAACGAAACAGCAAACCCCCTTGTATTTGCAACAGAATAACTATGGACAACTGTTACAACAATTTCCTCAATAATTACAAACTAATCCTCCCTCTTATGCCAATTTCAATAATGTACAATTCGATAAATCCTTAGAAATTTAATCAGATTTAAAGAAAAAAATCTAGCGTGACAAAATTATATTTTAGAAAAAAAAATTAGTAATTTCAACCATCTTTGCAAAAAAAAAAAAGAAAAAACATGTTCAAATTCTCGACAAAAATTGCCCAAAACATCCCATTTCCCAAGTAAACACGACCTTAATTACCATCCTAACCTCCAAATATCTTCGGCTCGAATACAGAAAACTTCTACACGATACTGTACCGGACGTTTTGCACGAGGAATCGCCTCTTTGCAAACGCTACTCGAACTCGACCCGATATCCCCCACTTCTACACACCTTCCCCTTAGAAAGGATCAAACAACAGTGTTTCGATGCCTCCGCAATTTATCGACCGCTCGACGAGAAGATACTCCCTTCTCCACCGGTATACAACAAATCGTTCGTTACCGTGTGTTATTTTAGATCAGTTTCACCTAGATCCCCGATGTATATACAGAAGAAAACCGGCATTTCCAACTAAAGGAAGCTCTAGAGGCGATTCCTTCAAGCTGGATTACGG